GCATCTACTGTCTGTATTTTTCCATGATTCTCGGGCAAAGTTAGGGTTATTCACGGCCGAAAATGACAATATAATATGAGTTTCGAGCGAGAATCATATTGTATACGGGCATGAATTCTCGCCCGAACAACAATAACTTCCACCCGAGAATGTCGAAAATTTTGAATTTGAATTTTGAATACTTCTCTTTCCACATGCAGGATGTCTCGCCTATTTGTTAGCTATGGTGGTAGTTGGAATGAGTCACAATTTCTATATGAAGGTGGAATTATGGGAGGTTTGGATGTGGATGACTGTATAACTTATGAGGAGCTCCTTAGTGCTATGTTCAGCCTTACCCGAATAGATCCGGACCAGTTCAAAATCTTGATACACTGTGTATATAAGTTCAATCTGCAGTACCAGGTTCCGAAGTATTACATCTTTGATGACCATAGCCTTAAATTTTTCTTAAGAAGCCCTCCACATCCCTCCGAAGTCCCATTGTATGTATCTGTCGTACCGAAGGAAATACATGGTAATGGAAGCAGTTCAATGAATCATAACATTCCAGAAGCAGAAACATTTTGATCATTTCCCCACCAGTTAGGGTAGACCGTTCCGTATTATGCACCATCGCTTCCTTTTGATTCCATGCTCCCAGGCCCATTCGTCGACGTTCCCTCATTGTCTCCCGTCATCCTTCTCTGGTCCTGCACATGCACTTAATGGTTCAGCAGCATCGTTCTCGCGCGGGACTTCGTCCTCACTTCGGGCTTCGGTGGTTCAAACGTCCTATCTAGGAAGGTCGTCTCAGCATTTGTTGCTTCTATTGATCGAGTTCTTCCCTACGATAATGGTAACGAACGTGTCGGCATCAATATGGAAATTAAAGAAACTTATAGTATAAACATGATTGAACTTACTGTGCTAGATTGAAAAGTCTCTCTGTCCAGCACATGCCATGCAGTTGAATGGTCGCACCTCCACCGAAGAATCCGTGGCACGGCGTCCGGATTTACCTTATTGGCCACACACCCAGATGAGGAAGATATAGTCTCGTAGGCCCACACCTGTAAGTATATAAGTGGTGGATGTTATTGATCAGTTAAAAGGAACGAAAACTGTAAACAAGTATCTAGGCTCATACCAGAACGCCCAAGGGAAACCGTAGAGACTGTACGATTTCCTGAACCCCCCATCCTTCGACCTCTTCGTCGGGCCACGCTTCAAACTATATATAGTCTTATCAAAGGACAGCATCCCCCAGTCGTGGTTGCAGCACGTTTCACAATCATCGACTATTCCCAGCAATGTATAGTCGTACTTCAGGGTCCTCTCTCTCCCCAACAGAACTAACTCTACTAAGTAAACAATAGATACCTTGACAGCATCGAAGTCATCCTCGAACCGTGCGGCAAAATAAATCTTCTCAAATTCACTCAACAGAACGTCATTGCTATCATTAAAGTAAAGAGCCCTTAGTCTGTGGGGAGATATGTCTTTTCTAACTGAACTCCTATCATACTTAAGCCCATAAATAATGTCAAATTCCCCCGCCCAAATGACACCTTACCCCCAAACAGGTTGAAGCTAATGGTGTCAGGTGTACTATCCTCGATCTCCCTTAGTAGGATGTTGTGTATCAATGGCCCGTTAAATACGAGGTCCAAGTCAAGGACATGGTCGAATACAGTTTTCCTAAACATCCTAAGTTGTGGTGGGGTCAATTTACTCTTAATGGTTGCGGTAGTCTTCGCTAAGTGCAACAGACATGTCAAGTTGGCGGAGGCATAGGATGAGGAACGGATTTTAACTATCATTTCCATTTTGAATTAACCTGGACATGAGTAAATAAATGATCCAAAGATGAATAATATGTTGCTTCCTATAAGGATAATATGTTAAAAATGCACCATACATATAAATAATGAACAAGTTCTCGTGAACAACCATACATATATAATAACCAATCATTCTACTAACCAACCTAAACAAAAAGATAATGTAAAAGCTTGTCCTGCCATATTTCTCGAGTCATTTTCAGGCGAAGTCGTGCACGAGAATTCATACAGTATTAAAGCTTCGCTCCAAAATTTTTAACACTATATGAATTCTCGGTTGACTTACAGGCGAGATCGGGCCCCGAGAATTTATCCAAAGACAAACAATTCCACGAGTTTCGAATCACTTTGCCTGAATGACCACGAGAATTTTTTCTCATCTAATATCTAACCCTTTTCGCCCGAAGAGATCTAAGAACTCTCACAATCTTTTCACCCGAAATGACCCGAGAATTGTTACATGCAAATCCAAACCCACCTCGCCCGAAAGCCCCCAAGAATCACCGAGAACTTGTTCGATGAATACCCCACTCGAAAAAATCGAACTCCTAACCTACTTCGCCCGAAATCCACCGAGAATGGTTCAGATTCTACCAAAACCCACTCCAAAACGATGAAATCTCCTAACACTTCGCCCGAAATCCACCAAGAACTACTGGTTCATATGAAAACCCACTCCAAAACTAGAAGCCCTAACCCACTTCGCACGAAATCACCCCGAGAATTTGTACGTTTCCTAAAAACCCACTCCGAAATTTCAAATCCCTAACTTTCAACCACCGATTTTACAGAAATCAAAACAAAGGAACCAAAAAACCGAAGACGAAATCGTCAGAAATGAAGAAATAAAACAAAAAAAAAACAACGAAAGAGTATAAAACAGTATAAAATTAGGAACCTTTTTACCTCAATGCTTCAGGTGTGAGACATTAAGCGGGAGACGAAGACGAAATCCGAAGAATCGATGATAAACAGTAAAGGAGGAAGAGAAAGGGGAAAAACGGAAGACGAAAAGGAAGAGGGAAGAGGGAAAGGAGTGGGAGTGCAACGGTTGTTTTTTAATTTTGAGGGGCATAAATATAACTTCTTTTTTTTTAAATTAATTAAAATAATCAGATAGTTTATTCAAAACATTTTTTTAGGGGTGGGTTAATTGGACACATTAGAAACCTGAGGGGGTCATTTTAGTTAATGTTCCGAATGGGTTCTTGTGAAGGAGAAGATGTTTGCGTGGCAGTGGCTGGAAAATTAAAAAAAATTATTGTGGGACCCATTTGCTCTGGATTTATTACCCATGTGCGATTTGCTCTGGATTGGATGAATTCAATTTCAGGATAAAATATTTTATTTTAAACAAATCAATATTGTATTGAAATTTGAAAAAAGCAAAGGAGAAGTAAGGAATGAGGGGTAAAATAACTAAAAAGTTCCATCACCATAATATAATTATAAAGGATTAGGAGACAAAAAGAGGAGAAAAAATAGAATATCAGTCAAACCAATAGAAAACCGCCCAGAACCGCCGGAATTGAAGTTAAACCGTCAAGAACCGAACCAAAAACAACTGAACCAACAAAAGTCGTTCTGACCGCACTATTCGATTAACCCACCAGACCGAACCGACAAACCAATGATTTATCGGTTCGGTGCAGTTCAACGTTGGTTCTCCTGCGATTCGGTTCGGTTCAGTTCCATTTTCATTTTCCTTTTCATTTTCATTTTTTAATCAGTTTGACTTCAGTTTTGCTCCACAACCGAGCTGAACCAACCCAATTACACCTTTTAGTTCAAACTATAGTAGCCACATATCTAGATTTTAATATCGTACGAGTTTCCTTGGCAACCAAGTATAGTAAGACCAGTAGGGATGGCAAAAATACCCGTGGGACTCGGTCCCCGCAGGTACCCGACCCGATCGGGTCAGGGATTCCCCGGTTTGACTGGGGACGGAGTCAAACTGGGGATCCCAATCGGGTTCCCCAGCGGGGACGGGGATCGGTCTCCCCACCCCGTCCCGATCCCCGACCCCCCATTTAATTTTTTATTACTTTTTCTATTTTTTTATATAATAATATTAATATATATTAATTTTATAAATACTTTTTAATTTTAAAAAAAAAACTCAAGCTAATACCTCCATTAGCCACCTTTTTCACTTTTTAAACTAATAATAAGAAAAATTAATTAAAAAATTAAAAAATATATATTTATAATGGGGACGGGAACCCGTCCCCAATCGGGGAATCCCCGCCCTCAAAATTTCGGGGATAGGGGCGGGGATGGGGGAAAATCCCCAACGGGGCAGGGATGGCCCCCGACTCCGCCCCACCCCGTTGCCATCCCTACTAGACAATTGTCCCATGATTAGTCAAGATATGGGTAAGCTTGCCCGAACATGAAAATAAATAAAATAAAATAAAATAATTGTTAAAAGACCTAGTAGTTTTTCTAAACTCAGATTTCATAAACTCTCCATTTAAACCCAAGCGTAAGATGTTAAGCACCTTCATCCACAGTTTTAGAATGTTGCCAACAAGGTTTAAGCAAAAGCTACTAGACTCAAAGAACCAATGAGCAACAATCTTTAGCAATGACCCTTATGCTGGTGTTTTGGCTGATCTAATATGAAAGAGAAGGCCAAGGAGTGCTAATTCAAAGTATGAACAATATTGAGGCTCAATCCCACCAAAATAGAATAAGAGTCATCATGAAGCAGAATTCCAAGTAGTTCATCAACAACCAAAGCTATGTTACATTACTATAATGTTTAAATCTCAGTCTCAAAACCTTTAAAGCTAATCTTTTGGGTCCTGTTTTGATACCATTTCGTTTTTGGTTCGTTGCTTTTCAGAATCTAGCTTATAAACACTATTTACAATTTTTTTTTATCTACTTTTTAAAAACATTTTCAAAATCTAAGGAAAATTTCAAAAAACTAAAAAACATTGTTATTATTTTTGAAATTTAGTTAAGAATTCAAATGTCGGTTGTAAGTGTGATTAAAACAAACTAGAGAAGTTGTGACGAAGTAGGCATAATTTTTTAGAAAAAAAAACAAAATCGTTACCAAACAGAGCCTTAACTTTCAAAATGTCTATTCTAGTCCTTGAATTGTAAGATAATAACTATTTTAGTCCTTACCCTTCAATATCTACTCAAACAATCTATAGTTTCGACACATGTTCAGATTAATATCTTAATATACATTTTCGAAGTCGTCAAATAGTTAACTATAGAATAACAGTAAGTACGAAAATAGTTACTTTCTAAAATATCAGGTCAAAATAGATACAATGGAAGTTTTAGGACCAAAGTCTAATAAATCTAGTACCAAAATGAGATTTATACCTAATAAATATTCCGACCTGGATCATCATCAATGTCTTATTTGTTGTAGGACCTCGGACGTCCAAACATCGGTGCCAGCCACATTGAAACACACAGATGAAACTAAAGAATTCCAGACAGAAAGTTCAGGCAATTGACCTTGGCTAATCATTTCCTCCAACCACATCACTGCTTCATATTGTTTACCGATCGAACAAAGACCTCCGATTAGCGTATTGAACGTGTCGGAACAAGGTCGATACGATTTGATAACCATTTCCTCCAACATCTTACATGCTTCAATGTATCTATTTTCAGCACAAAGTCCATGTACTAAAATACTGTATGTTTCCTTGTCTGCAACAAGACCGACCTGCTTTGCCATTTTCTTCAAATACTCCAAAGCCACTGTTGATTTGCCCTCATTAGACAGACCCTTCAGAACGATGTTGTACAATGCAACAGATGGAATACAGCTTCCCTTCACAGTTTCCTCGTCAATTACTCTCATTGCATCATCAACTTTTCCTTCTTTGCATAATGCAGCCGCTTTTGCTTCATAGATCGAGGATGGTGGCCTGAAGCCTTTAGCTAGCATGTGGCTCACCACTTTATCTCCCTGATCGGTCACGTTTTCGTTATATAGATCAACAGCCATGGCACAATAGGTAGCCAAGCTGGGAATTCCACCTTTGATTAAGGCTTCATTGAATAACCTCTTGATTTCATCGATGGTGAGCTTGCTATTCTTACATTGGTCGAGGTCAATCCGGTAATGAACTCGCTTGGGGGCTTTCAGTCCTTTCCTCAATATCTTGCCAAGTATTTCCACAGCCTGCTCAACCTCTCCATTAGCACATAAAGCATACAAAAGGGTTCTATAAATAACAATGTCCCCTCCACTGCCCCTTTGAGAAATCCTCCAAAACATAGAATACAACAAATGGACGGCCTCATTAAGCCTTCCATCTTGGCACAGTCCTTTCATTAGAATCAAATAACTCAGCCTATTTGGATAGCAGCCTTGGTAATCCATCTCTTGAAAGATATGTAAAGCAAGTTCAGATTGAGCTCTCTGGCAAAGAGATTGCATAAGCAAATTCAAGGACTGAGTTCTGGACTTCACACCCCAACCATAAGAGCTCTGCTGAAAAAGCTGACAAGCGGCATCAAGCCGAGACTCATTCAACAGGATTTCCAAAAGGGTATTGAAAGTTTGTGTTCTATTGGTACAGTTAAATCTCCCGAGGCTTTTGAACAAAGATATGCCTTCTTCCAGTAATCCATGACTAGCATACGTTTTAATTGCAAATGAAAATACAGAATCTTTGCACTCACAAGAATCATCTTTCATTTGATCAATCACTTCTCTCATCTCGACGACTCTGCCCGAGTTTCCGAGTATATCAATCATTGCGGCATACACCGGACCATTGTGTCGATAACCCGGGTACCTACATTTGGCTTCCTTAAAGAGTTGGAAAGCTGTAAAGGGATTATTCTGCTTCCTGATAATCTGAGAGAGGTGTGTGGGAGTTAACATCCTTGGCCACCTTACAGTCATAGCTCCACTTATTTGATTCAAGTGACCAAAACCTCACGGAAGTGCGGCAAGAATCAAGTGAATTTAAGAAATTTTAGGGACGGACATTTTGACAAACACCTTATGTGCAGAGGGAAAGTTCAGAGGTGGAGAACTTCACCTGTTTGGTCGGATTCTGTGTGGGCTTGAAAAAAGGTTAAAAAAATAAATGGAATTCGGCTAAGGACATAGCCATAGCCTTTTCTTTTTCTCAGAGACAGAAATGTACAGCCGCGGATCCCTCCAAGTTCGGCGAGAGCGCCCAACCGCGTATCCTAACTTTTGGCGATGTTTCTTCTTTGAGATTTTTTTTCCCTTTTTCCTTTTACTTTTGAAAATTATATAATATATATATAATATATTCTGAGTTATGATTCAAATTTTTTATATGTACGTTAAACAGTGAGCTATTATAAAAAACGAGCTAATTCAATGATAATTCATATATATCTCCAATTAAAAACTTGTGAGTTATGATCTTCTTATATATATAATGATTCTTAAAATTATTAATTAAATATTTTGCTAAAATATGTTAGTAGAATACTCGTGTGTGAAAACGTGATTCTTGTATAAGAGAGAATGAATTTTTATTCATTAATCCATTGCAGTATACAAATGTAGAGCCCATATATATAGACTTAGACTATTGGGCTTTTCTGTTATAATGGGCTATGTACAATAACAATGGGCTACACTTAGTGATTACACTTAACAGTGTGTTGTTAAATTATTGTATTGTTAACATTTTTGTACACGTGCATAATGCCTCGACATGTCACTTAGAAGAATGAACTTTTTGATGAGTGGATCGAATCTTGCTACCAAATAGGTTAGAATTTATGTGTCATGTAAAATGTCAACATTTTCTAAATAATTTCAAACATTTTTTAGGAACAGCCTAATTGATAATTTTTAATACATTTTAAAGTTTGAATTTGATTGATGATAAAAAAAACATAAATTTGAAAAAAAAAAATTGAGTTGCATGCTTTTAAAAATATGTCCAACTTGCGTCTAGAAATATATTTATAAACGAGTAGCAGTTACCAACTAAATATTTAGTTTAATCTAAAATAATATTAATTAATTTATTAACCATTTTCGTTATAAATTTTGTATGATTATTTTACAATGTTATATAATTTATAATATGTTATATTTTACATGTTTTTAATTTTAACAAAAATAAAATGAGTTTATAAGATGAAATAATATATTTATCAAAAGTTTTTTTTAACATTTTTTAATGAAATTTTGTATTTTTCAAATTTCAAATTCAAAATCTAAAAACTTCAAAAACGTAAAAATGTTATTTTCAAAATTTCGCCATTATAGAATTTGAAACTGTCTTAAAAACAAATCTATCAAATGCTAACAAAAATATATATTTATTGAATCCACTGAATTTAAAAATAAGAAATAGAATCCGAATTGACAATCAAATGAGCCTTAAATCTTTTGCTACTCTATTTTATTTTAGAATTGTGGCATGTAGGGTCCTTATACCACTATTGTGTCCTGTTGGATCAGTATAACCTAGGAGAGGGGTGAATAGGGTTTTGTTAGAGAGGGGTGAATAGGGTTTAATTAACAAAATGTAAATTTTTTAATAAATGGCCCAATTTAAACAAAAATAATAGATATATGCAATTTTAACAAACTAGGATAAAATAAATTCTAAGGAAAACCAGAGAAATTTAAAGCAAAAATTAAAATTCTAAAATTAATTGCAAAAATAAATAAGAGATATGGTAAAAGAATTTTGACACCGGAACTTTTTATAGTGGTCCGACACAATTGTCCTACCGCACTTCCCAAGCACCTCTTAAGTTGTAAATTGAAATTCTGACTCTTTACACAGTAGGAGTCAAATCGGTACAATGTTATTTTTTCGAAAGCAAGAAAAAACCCGATCCTTTCTACGGTTCACGATCAAACCGTTACAACTGCTCTTTTTCGGGCTCAAGAACAACCCTTACAAAGATTTGGAATTTTGAATGCACAAATTTACAAACTCTCTCAAGGAGTGGGTATACAAATTTGTACTCACAAATTTGTGAGAAAAGTTGATGCAAATAAAAGCTCTCAATTTGACTAAGAAAAATAAAATTGGAAAAATTTTCTAGTATATGGTGGTATAGAAAATTTTCCACTTCCGTTTCGAACTTTGAACAGTGTATGGTCCATGAAACAAAATAACAATATCATTTAATGATATGCAAAATTGTGAATAGAAGCAGGTACTAGACAGTATTAAAATTTCCAACATCTTTCTTCTTCCCTCTCATTTTCATTATTATTTTTATCATTCTAGCCAAAAATTTTGGCCTCGTCGGATAACATTTTGTTTTTGGTTTTCTAGGCTTGTTAGTACTACTTCTACATATTTCCTTGCTTTGCTGCCTCCTTTATAAAAATGTTAGCGAAATTAAAAAAAAAAGTAAAAAATAAAATAGTTTTCAACTTTTGTTTTTTTTTTTTTAAATATGGTTAAGAATGTAAATGTGCTTTTAAGAAATGTGTAAATATACTTAAAAAAATTGCGAGCAAACAAACATAACTTTCAAAAACATAAAACAAAAAACGAAATAGTTATGGGTATGTTTGATAACCATTTCTATTTTTGGTTTTTATTAGTTTTTTGTTTTTGGATGTTTGATAACATTTTTTTTCTAAAACAGAAAAATCAAACATTTTTTGTAACAATTTTTAGTTTTCTGTTTTTAAAAAGTTAGAAAATAGAAAATATATATTAGAGAGAAAATTCTATGTAGAGTAGAGATGACAATGGCATGGATGCGAGTGAGGATGTTCCCTCACTCTCGTGCTCGTGAAAATTTTTAGTCTCCGTCTCCACCTCGTTATGCGGTTCGAGAGATATTCTCGAGAAAAATTATCGGTTTTATAATTGTTTTTAATTACTTTTAGAATTTAAGTATAAAAAAAGTGTAATAAATATATATTAACTATTTAAAAATTGAATTGGAGATGGGGTCGGGACATGCATTCCCTATTTATAGGCTCGACCCTACAGGAATTTTTGTCATCCCTAATGTAAGACATGAAAATACAAGTTTAGAGAGATGTAAATAAACTTTTGGGAGATAAATTTTAGAGATAAATCAAAATATTTAGGAAAAAAAATTAATGAAAGAAAAGTTAAAGACAAAAAGAGAAATTTTAGAGAAAAAAAAGTAAAGTCGAGAGGTAAAGATACGTAAAAGAAAAAAAATTAAAAAGAAAGAGAAATTACAGTGAAAAAGAATTTAGAGATAAAAACAAAATTCAAAATATAATTTTTAGAGAAAATAAATAAATACAAAGATAAATAAAAATTACAGTGAAAGAAAATTGAACTAGAAAAGAGGATATAATTTTTAGAGGAAAAAATAGATTGGGAAGGAAAGAAAAGTTATAAAAGACGAAATTTTAAAGAGAAAAAAGTTCGGAAAAATATTAAATTATTACAGAGAAAAATGAAACTGGACTGTTAGAAAAAAAATAATAAAAATACAGAAAAATTTGAAGAGAGAGATAAATAATAATAAATATTCAAAATATGAAAATTTTAGAGAGATAAAAATAAATTTTGTAGAGAGAAATTTATTTTGGTATTGGCACTTTTAGCTTTAATTTATTATGCGGTCTATTTTCAAGTTACTGAACCAAACTTTTTACGTGCAAACTTCGGAACTCATTAATTGGTAGGTTGTGTTCCTTCGACACTCTGTTTAGGAGATCCTTTATCAATATGGATAGAATATATCTTTTCATAGATAATCTTAGATACATTCATTACGTTGATTCTAGTTTTGGGCTGAAAAAGCTTGTCGATCCAAATGAATGGTTTTTTTAGAGATAAATATCATAAAGAAAAAAAAAGTTGACTATTAAAAGAAAAAATCAAATTTTGAAAAACAAAAATCTGTTTTGAAAACTACTTTTTTTTTTTGAAATTTACATCGAATTTCAAAATGATTTTTGAAAAACAAAAAACAGAAAATTGAATCGATTATCAAACAACACTATTTTTAAAAAAACTAAAAACCAAAAACCAAAAACTAAAAACGAAATAGTTATTCGTACCCAGCAAGGACTTTAGAATTCACTATACGAATATTTTTCCCAACCAATAATTCCTAACCCCAAAAGATTATTGTTGTTATGGGTGAAATTAATCTCTACCAATCACGCGCCCAAGGATGCATAGCAATTATTTGAAGGGATTAGTACGTTGATAGACTATTTAGACACTATAATTACGATTAAATGATATAAATTTACACTTTTGTCATGGAACAATTCCATTTAAGATGATATCCATCACTCAATTTACTAACATATCATTTTGTATCTCACCTCAATATTAATTAATTTTTAAAATCCAAAATTGGTTACGAGGTTACATTTTAAATCCTTTAAATTTTGCTTAATTAGACTTTCCAAGAATAAAAAAATATCAAATTCCCAAAATCCTCTGAAAAAATTCGAAAACCTCCTCCCTCCGACTTTTCTTCTTCCTCTGTTGTTCTGTTTCCGTCCATTCCTTCGTCTCCGGCCGTCGTCTGTGTTCCTTCGTTTCCAGTCATCGCCTCCATTCTTCTTCGTTGTTGGAATAGTCTGTCTAGCTTCTCCTTCGTCTCCGGCCGCCCGTCCATTGTTTCTGTCCGTTTATCCCGAGGTTTCTTTTTTGTCACTGGCCGCCCGTCAACCGATTCGAGCTTTCCGTTTATCCCGACCATTGTCTAGTCGCCGACCAGAAGGTTTGTAGGTTATTTGCTTTGTTTGTTAATTGTAAAGGGATATAGTCGTATATACTTTATAGTCAGATATAGGTTATATCTACATATAAGTGTATGTTATAATGGCTATAGTTTATATCACCATTGTTAAGTGCATGTTGCTTAAGTTTATAACCGGCTATAGTTTATATTTTCATATATATATATATAAAAGTGTATGTTATAATGGTTATATTATTGAAATTTGGCTAAAAATGGTAATGAAATGAAAAAAGTAGAATATATTAAGGAATAAATTTAGGAATTCTAGAATAATTGAATATTTTGTAATAAATTTCATTCTTTAGTCTTTAGTAGAATTTGTTAAGGAATAAACTGAGGAATTATGAGAATGATTGATTTAAGCTCCAATATAATTTAATTTTTACAAAATCAAATTTAGAATATTAATCTTTTGCATTTAAATAAAAGATTAATTATAATATATATAAATGTCATAAATAAGGACAAATTTGACATTTTGAAAAAGTTTTAATCAAAAGGTCTAAAACTTTAAAATTTGTAAATATTGGACATTTATGAAAATAAGTTTTCAAAATAGCTTATCCAATGTATTATTGTTATTTGAACTTTGAAAACTAAGACCACAAATGCAGGCTGGGCCCAAAGGATAAGGCCCACAGGCCAACTTGTCAGCCCCAAACCATGGCCCAACTGGTCAACCATGGGCCAACAGTCCATGGGCTTGCTCCTATGCTCCAATAGCTTAATTACTAGGGAAATCTTTAGGAACGGTTACTCACAGGTTATCGTTAAGCAAAATGACCAAAGTTTTTCTAAATTGCATGATATGGCGAAAGTTGGTTTCTTAGATTTTAGGGGAGGTGTATAATTTCTTATTTATCCCTCCACACATTTCATGTCTATATTGCCCTTGCAGTCTTTCTCTAATTCCCTTAAATCTCTCCTAAAATAGCAATGTTATCGAGTTAATATTGAAACCACCTTAACTACAAAATCTACATAATTTCTAAAATCTTTCCACAAAATTTAAACCACAAAATCTAACTATATCATACTTAATATTGAAACCACCTTTAACTACAAAATCTATATAATTTCTAAAATCTTTCCACAAAATTTAAACCACCAAATCTACGTATATGATTCAAACAAGTTTAAAATGTGTTTAATTTTTTTAAACAAACCTAACTAATTGGTTTGAACATTCCACTGTAATCAGCAACCTTAAATA